GATGAGTCAAACCAATGAAGAAAAACAATCTTATACCTCAGCTGACATACTTCCCTCTTGGCTTGGCGAAACACTTCCTAGCTTCACAGAGTTTTCCTAACAACTTGGATAACTCATCTTGTTCTGTTTTGTAGTTTTGTACAGAGGAATGGAACTGAGTTGAAGAAATGTAACTATTTTTTTTTTATTTTTTTTTTTTTTATGAAAATGCCTATTTGTGAATGTCCTCTACATTTCCCAGGCAAGTAGCTGAAGTGCCGTAGATTTTTACAAGAATGTTTCTAGGGTCAAGTTCAGCCTTGAAGTAATAATTGTTTTTACTCCAACTTGTGTTAGGGCTTGATTTGCTCCTTAATATGTACCCATTATTGACAGATTTTCAAATAAACAGGACTATTTTTCACTACTCTGTTCTGGAATTTGCTATAATCCTGCTTCTTCTCAGCTTGTATTTTTTTTATTTCTATTCCATTTAGGCAGGAATAGCATTAGTTTAGAGCTCTTAAAGTGTGGTCTTAAGAGTTACGCTGATCTTGGCATCAGGGACCATCTCTCACAGCCACAGCGAGTGGAGGAGGGTCAAAGCTTTTAATCTGTGTAGAATTCACCCTTGTTAAAATCCAAAAAGCCAGGTTGTGCATGGAAGTGTGTAATCCTATTAACATTAGCGTGTTTACCACTAACGAAAGAAACACCACTGACATGATGGGCTAAACTGAATATATTTGCACGCTTATAAATATGTCAAGGTGCCAGGCAGGAATACCAAAGCAGTTGAGGGCATATCGTCAGCCAGTGGCTTCCCACAGCTCCTCCTCTCTGTACCCAAGATTGTCTGCTGAGAAAGCAGCAAGGGATGAACCTGCTGTGGTACTAAAATCACAGGACAGTTCCCACAACTGCTGTCCTGTCCGTTGTGGTGTTTGTGATCTGAGCACACCTTCGTGGTGTGGGCACACACACCTGTCTGAGCTTGTGCAGGTCTTTGGCCACCGTGCTGACCAGCGGCGTGATGTGCTCAAGGAGTATTGCTGAGTAGTATTTCCCCAGCATTGTTCCAGTCCAGAGCCCTGGGCAAACAATGTGTAGAGGTGAGAGGAGACAGACCTGCCGCCTTCGACTTCAGCCTCTTGGCGAGGCTGAGGGGATTTTAATGCTGCAGCTGTAGTTTGTTCACTCCTCCCTTCCCTGCAGGACTGGAGAGAAAATCAGAAGAGCAAAAGCAAAGAAGCTCCCAGGTTGAGATAAAGACAGTTTAGTAAGTGAAGTAAAGCTGTGCCTGCAAGCAAAGCAATAAGGAGTTTATTCACTGCTGCTTGGTGGCAGGCAGATGTCCAGCTGCTTCCTGGAGAGCAGGGCCTCAGTGTGAGGAGTGGTTACGTTGGAAGGCAAACACCACACCACCCTCCCTTTCTCCTCTTTTCCCTGAGCTTTTATTTCTGAGCATGGCATTGTCTGGTGTGAGCAACCTGGTCTAGTGGAAGGTGTTGCTGCTCATGGCAGGGGGCTGGAACTAGATCCCTTCCAGCCTATACCATTCTGTGATTCTATGAACACCCCTTTGGCCAGCTGTCTCAGCTCTGTCCCCTCCCTGCTTCTTGCCCAGCTCTGGCCTATTGCTGCGGGGAACACAGTGAGGAAAACGAAAACCTCAGTGCTGTGTGAGCACTGCTGGGCCATAGCTGCACCACTGGTCTAGACACAAATCCAAAACAGCACTGCACAGCTGCTGTGAGGCAAGTTAACTCCACCCCAGCCAGACCCAGCCCACCATCCTGCTCCTGGTAGGTGAATCTCCTGGGAACAGTCACTGAGCAGTTCTCTGACAGTGGGAGAATTTGTGGAGGTAACCAGCTGGGCGGGATTTGAGCTGGAAGTGATGGGTCTCTTGACTCCAATCCAGTATAAATCGTGCCCATGTTACCATGAGTTCTATTGTTATGACATCCCGTCTGTCGCAACCTCCCTTTGTTTTGAGTGGGAAATGATACTCGGCTTTGCTGGCTTGAGCTATTGGCTGAGGTGGTTGGGTGCTGGTACAGCAGCTACTGTGTAAACAGCACTTTGCAAGTGACACCAGGGATGTCTCCGTGTCTGCTCGAGTTCCTCTTGAGTGACACCCTGCAATGGCACTGCAGGGTTTCCGAGTCCCTCGGTGGTTCCTGACCAAGTTTGCTGAATTTACCACTTAAAAAACATTCTGTTCTAATTACTGCTCGTATGCTTTTTGCCTCATCTGTCACTGTTTGCAAGGAAGACTTTGCGACTGACATGGATAAACAATGCTGTTTGAGATGGGAGCCAGAATGGAATTCGGCTCTTTCTCCTGAACTGAGCAGGCTTTGCAGAGCTAGTGGGAATGGAGAATTATAAAAAGAAATAGATAGGGTTTGCAGTGACACAGACAAAATGGATCAAGCAAGGAAGCTTTTTTTCTTTTTTTAAACAACTCTGTGAATACAGTCTCGGTGTGAAAAGTGTATTGAGCTTTTCTGGCAAAGACATACTCAATACATCTCGTCCAGAGTGCCTTGTGCCATTGAAACTCTCGGGTAATGTCATGAGAAGGAGTCCCTGGACATACAAGAAGTCCCACCACAGTGCTTTTGTCTGAAGCTCTTGTGAGTGGCTGG